AATCTTGAAATATAATGATAAAACGGACAACAGCCGTGAAACATTGTCTACTAATGCATATACAAACGCTACACTCTAATTCCACTTACTCATTGAAGTACAAAAATATACCTTAAGAGATGAGAATCCAGAGATGAGTTCCGCTGAGGGAAGAAGGTCGGGGCTCACTGTAAAGCATTCGAAATGATGCCACTTAGTTATGTCGTACCCTCGCGGGTCTTTAGTTACAAGTGCCAGGCGGAGAGAGCTCGCTGCGATCGCATTCGAGCATTTCTTGCAGGACGCCCTCCCGGACTTGGCATACGCTGCCAGGATTTTCGTATGCGGGGCCATTGAGGAAACTGAGTGCAGTAGAGGCGGAGAACTAGGGTTCAGACGAAATTTGGAAGAGGATAGGATCGAAGGGCCTTTCTGCTCTAACAAAGCTAGTGACCGACGGACATTATTAGAGTGCCGAGAGAAATGGGGTTTCCCGCCAATTAAACGGAGGTATAGGCGGCACTGTGGTGGAGCAGTAATAACTTGCATGTTCCAAAGTAGTACTTCATTACAGAAATGAAACGAGGTAGATTCTGGGTCTGTTTGCAACAGCTTCTGTTTTTAAAAAAGTGCTTTTTTTAATGAAATGGGGAGAAGTGATTAAATAAAAGTTGATAGTGTTTGAGAAAAAAGTGATTTTGAAAAGTAAAGGTGGGTAGTGTTTGATAAAATAAGTGCTTTTTGTGTAATAGAAAAAGTAAAAGCACTTTTGACGCGGAAGCCGAGAAAAATAAAAGTTGTAGTGTTTGGGAAAATAAGTATTTTTTTAAAGTCAAAAGCTGAGAAGTGCTTTTTGAAAGGAGTTGCAAACCAACCCTCTATGGTCTATCTCGTCTAAATAAGTAAATTAGGAAACCCAACATAATATTTCAAAAAAAAAAGGAAACCCAACATAAAAGAAACTGAAATTGTTCTAAATAGGACTAATGAGTTCCTAAAAAGCATAAATAAGACTACTACTTTTTAAATTCCCTAATAGCATCTCCACTCATGATCTTAAAATAAATGGTTTTTCTATGACACATCATATTTATTAAATAAATTTTAAATAATCTCAAATCTTAAAATTCTCCATCAACCATGATATTCAAATAATTAGTTTTTCTAGATCATGCATTAAATGAAATTTAACTACAACCTAAAATAATCCGGGATTCAAATCTTGATACCGGATTATCTTTTTCAATAATCTCTCTAAATAATCTCTCACTCGCAATGATAATCTTTAAAATAATCTTACACATCATCTAATTAAACTCTAAATATTCTAAACAATGGGGATGCCCTAAATAGGACTAAACATTGACTTTCTACCCTAAATACCTCTAAGCGTATTAATTCATAATGAAATGCTTTAATTCATAATAAAATCATAAAAAAACGTAAAAAAATGTAAAAAAAATTATAAAAAATTTATAAAACATTTATAAAATAAAAAATTTAATTTTATTTTTTTTAATTTTTTTAAAAAAATAATAAAAAATAGTAAAAACCCATAAAAAATGAAAAAAATTATGGATACCTTTTCCACCGCCTCCCAGCACCACCACCTCCGATTGGTGAATTTTCTTCCACTTTTGGTAAAAATTTGCCATCTTTTTCTGAAAATGCGAAAAAGATGGCATAATTACTCTTCAATATGCCAACATTTTCATTGAATATGCCATCATTATGGCATTATTTAAAATGTTGGCATATTTTTCTCCGGTGATGGGAGCTGGTGGTGCTGGGGGGTGGCAGGGGTGGTAATGTTCTTTTTTTAATTTTACGATTTTTTTATTTTTTTTTTTAATTTTTTAAAAAAATTATAATTTTTTTAAAAAATATTTTATTAATTTTCGATTATTTGTTTTTACGATTTTTAGTATATTTTTCAATTTTTATTATTTTTTATGATTTTATTATTAATTAAAACATTTCACAAGTTACAAAAGGTATATTTGTCCAAACACACATAAATAGTCCTATTAAGGGAATTTAAAAAATGTAGTCCTATTTGTGCAATTTTGCCACTTTTTAGTCCTCTTTAGAGAATTGACTCTAAAAGAAAGCAAAAAAAATGAGAAATTAGCCCTAAACTAAAAACGTGTCTTCTAAAATAGAATAATCATGTTTTTATATTCAAAATAGAACTAATTACTGCTGGTAATACCAAATTTAAAACATAACAGTATTTTCCAAATTTGACGCTAATCACCGCTATTTTGAAAATAAAAATATGACAACCCTAATTTGTAATTTTAAACTTTTTACTCCTCTTTTGAGAAATTTATCACTACTTTTCTTAATAAACCACCAAAATTAATACCAAATAAAAAAGTCAACAATAAAAAGGGAAAGTGTAGGGAACTTTTAAACATGGCTTGTATATGGGTGGTAATAGATTTTTTCAAGAGAGATTTACCTTAATATGACCAAAACATGACTTTTTCCAAAATAGAAGCAATTAGTTTAAACATCCTTAAATATGATTTTTTATTAGTGATTGGACTAAAATACCCCCACTGCTGCCCATGTATTGTTGCCTGCCGCCGACCACCTACTACCGCCGCCGGAGCTCTGGCGACGACCGCCGGAAAAATTTCAAGATTTTTTCTGGATTTTTCCAGTATTTCTGCCGCCGCCAGAATCTGCTGCCGCCGCCACCACGGAGAAGAAGGAGAAGGAGAAGGTCGGAGCTTACTGTGGGGGGCAATTAATTGGGTTAATTAATTGTCGGAGTTCGCCACCGCCATCAGAATCTGCCGCCGACCGACTGCTGGAGTTCTGCCGCCACCGACGGACTGCCTTGGTTGTACAAGGAAACTAGGGGACAATTATTTATATCAATTAATTAATTAAAAGAATTAGGGGTAACAAAGGGAAGGTTGGTCCTATTTGGGAAAAAAAACATGCATGTGATCCTATTTTGGAAAAAGGATTGAGTTTTGGTTCTATATTGGACATTTTTTTCTTTTTTCAATTCGGATCGGATCAGGCCAGCAAAGTAAAAACTTCCTAAGTCGTATGGAGTATTTAAAAAGGGTCTATAAAAGGGTCTATAAAAGCATCTCCAATATAATGCTTGGAGTCAATTATATTGATGTGGCAAAAATATGAGTTTGGGATGTTTTCTTTTGGACTATTTTCAGTCCCAGACTAGACCGAACCCGACCAGATCAGACCAGACCAGATCAGGTCAGACCAAACTTCCGTGGTTATAAAATACACAGAGATCAGACGTTTACCAAACCAGATCAGACCAGACTAGTTCAGACCAGACGTGTTCAGACCAGACCATACCAGCAAATTTCAGTCCAAAAGAAAACATCTTTAGTCTATTTAGAGAAAAGAGTTATGTCTAAAAACATTATATTTGTGAAAAAATATTTGTACCCTATATCTGTGTTATTACATTGTAGGTATAAGTGATTCTACATTGATGTTAAAAGTTTGTACTCTACTTTTCACATTGACTTATGTATTCATACTCAGTCAAAACATCATCTCTTCCGTTAAATGATTTTTATACCACCAGACAATGTGAATTCCTATATTTTCCAATGAAGCCTTTTATCCTCCCGCAACCTCTAATGCTGTAAATTATATGGTACAACCAGTTTTACCATGCACATGTTATATCCGGATATTTTAACATATACTTAATGACTATATAGTTAAAATTGAATGAGTATTAGTATTAAACATTGTTCTAAAAATCGGCCTAGTCGGACCGATTAATCGGCCTAGTCGGCCGTAACCGTAGAGCACTAATCGGCCTAGTCGGCCAAAAAATCGGTCTAGGCGCCCAAAAAATCGGCCTAGTCGGATGCCTAGGCACTAGGTGCCCCTCAACCGCCCGACTAGCGCCTAGCGAATTTTAGAACGATGGTATTAAATTATAAAATTAGTACATAAACAGTGTTTATGATAATATAGTTTAGTGAATAAGTTGATTTGTAGCATATTATTACGTGTAAATCATGTGATACTTAATTGCACGATTCTAATTATCATTTGTGTTATCAATACAGTGATTTAATACCAATGCTCATTTTTTATGATGTGATAGACAATATGTGTGACATAAAATACACGGTTGTATGATGAGCATCGTACAACCGTGTGTACGGTATAGGTTTTCCTCTAGTACTTTCATCATGCTAGCAACGTGTTCCATAGACAAGGTAAACTATTTAGGTCTAGTAAATTGTTTATTTAGTTTTTCAATGATGTATTTGGGATATTTTTAGTTGAATTGAACTTTTATAGTATTAAGATATGAAGTTTCATCCTAAAAAGTCAACCTAATAGGAGGAGTATGTAGCCTCCAGATCTTGATATAATGTTTAATTGTTTATGAGGTTCGGTGTGGGACGACAACATCCCCGACCTCCTCGTGACCAGACACTTCGTCTGGATCGGGACGTCATTCATTTTTTATAGGTTCATCGTTGTCATTTTTAAAATTGTGTCATCATTTTTCATAGGATACACACCATAGATCGATTTGGCTTTGATATCATATTGATATTTCGAGTTTCATCCTAAAATGCCAACCTATTGGGAGGAGTAATCCAGATCAATATAGTGTTTGATTGTTTAAGAAATATCCGGTGTGGGACAACAACATCTAGTCTGGTCTGATGTGTTTTGGTCTGGTATGTTAGATGAATGATTTTGTGTATTTTATAACTATTTAATTCTGACCTGGTCGAATATTACTAAACATATCTACACTTTTTGCATCTGAGATGGGATTTTAACAATGGAAGTCTATTTGATGATATGGAAGTATAATAGATTGGTTTGACCTGATCTGGTCTGATTTGATCTAATCTAGTAAATGTTTAATTATTGTATATTGTATAATTACGAAAATCTGATTTAATCTGATCTGATTTATTTTGATCTTGTCTGGTCCAATCTAAGACTCAAAAGTGTACAAAATATAACCTCCTAAAAACATAAGAAGGTTTCGAAAGAAACATTTTTTTGGTGCGAAGGGCCGAAGGATACAATTTTCTGGAGAATGGAAAATGAAAATGTGAAGCTAATTGTGCACAGTAGTTTCTATTCCATGAGCTGGTGATTTCTTCTCCATCGCCGTTTTCCTCTGAACTCGTCTTAGAGGTGCTGTTTCGAGCTTCAATGGATCCATACCAAGAAGACCGTCTCAGGGAAGAAGTGATCTACCTCCACTCTCTCTGGCATCAAGGCCCACCAAGACCCCAAAACCCTATCGCGTACCAGACTTCCCTTCGACCCATAAATCCTACCCAATTCAAGAGAAGGGGGAACCCAACTCCAGCGAGACGCGGCAAATTCGAGACTGAATCTTCAGATTCCGGCATTGAATGGCCCTGCAAGCTCAAAACAGATAAGCCGCCGGAAACTGATGCTGGTTGGCCCAAGCTATTGGTCCCGTCAAGTTCTGAGCGCCGCTCGTTAACAACCGAAGAGCAGGCCCAATTGGCCTCCAATCAGGCACAAAAAGCTGCGTTGAAGGCTGTAAGTGATTTCCTCTGTAATGAAGACAGCTCTGATGACGAAGAAGCAGAGGATGAATACATAGATGATGTTCAGGAAGGAGACATTGATAATACAGCAAAGGGAGAAGTGCGCGAAAGCTTAGATTTTTTTGTGAAATTGTTTGAGAATGATGGTGCTTTGAGGGAATACTACGAGAAGAACTATGCGGGTGGGGAATTCAGCTGCCTAGTGTGTTTTGCGGCCGGGAAGAGAAGTGTGAAGAAGTACAAGGACTGTCTGGCTTTAGTCCAACATTCTATTTCTGTAACCAAGACCAAGCGTAGGCAGGCTCATCGTGCATTCGGGCAGTCAGTTTGTAAGATTCTAGGATGGGACATCAATCGTTTGCCACCTAGTATTGCTTCATCACAACTAGAAAATAAACTAGGTCTTTCTTCCGACAGCCCTGTTGAGGGTCAGGTAATTGCTTTACTTTATAGTCTATTACCAATAGCTAAATAATCTGAAGGTGCCAAATAACCAGTTAGATTTCAAATTCGTAGGCTTTACATATGTATATGATGGGCATTTTTGTTAAAAACTTGCTAAGTGTTCAGGTGATATATTATTTTGCTTTACAACCATTCATGTGTTTGATACAAGTCTTATCATGTGGCAGCATAATGATAATGCAGAGTCTGTCTCTAACAATAGAGGTGATGGTGGTGGTGAACTCATAATTAATGAAACCTTAGAATCTAATGATGGTGGATCTTCACTGCTTGAGGTTGGTTATGTACTTTTGTCACATTGCTACTGGTTGTGGTGAACATTTTATAGTTCAATGTTCCATAAGTGGTTATAGGTTTTCTGTGAGATCATATTTCTTTGTGTTGTATTATTATATTGCAGGGTAGCATTGACGACTGTCTTAGAGACGACTTCAATCTCCAAGAATTTATTATGGACATTGTGTATGGTAGTAATGGGGAAGTATCCCCTCAAAACAAGTCCCTTAACAGTGACAACCCACAAGATGACACTGATAGCAGATCTCCATTTTTAGTGGTTAGTTACGTCTACCATTTTGTTCTTTCACTTACTCAGTGTGCTGTACATGATTCTAGGTTAAATGTCTTTTTTCTAGTAGATCTAGCCATCTAGGGCTACATGCTGGAGTCTTGTGCTATTGTATTTGCTTCGATGTTCTGTTTGGGCGTTGTTTCTTCTCATGTATTTTTTTTTGAAATTCTCATGCTGTGTGTTGAGAAGAAAAATTGTTATTAATAGATATCATGCTTTGAGTACAAAGATCTCCCACATATATAGGTACAAAGTTTAGGAGTACATGCTTAGGAGTAAATGCAAAAGTTAGCTCAATTAAACAAGGAATGGTGGATAAGAAAGGACTAGATAATATCCAATTAATCTAAGGAAGGGAAAGAATTAAGAGATAGCAGTGGATGCAGCTACGGTTGCTGGATAGGCTGGTGGAAGCCTGGAAGGGTGTGATGGAGCCACAAAGGTATGAAACAGTTTACTTGTGAGATGCATGAATGAGTTTGATATATGTCGTTACCTTTATGTTTTTTATTTATTTAAGCCACACTTACACCGACAATGTATACATTTTGGTTGTTTTTAATACCACTGAGTGATAGGTTCTTTCATTTTATAGAGGTTTTGTTTGTTGGTTATGTGTTTATCCTGCATATGTATTTATTGATCTGTTGGGCTCATAGTTGTACAGTGAATTTTATTAGTTGAAACAGTATTATTTAAGTTGCTTGCAAAATATTAGCATAATTGTTTATCAATTGAAATGAAATGATTTGAATTTGCTTGAAAACATTAGCATAACTTTCTGCACCTTGACAAGATCTGCTCATCATACATGCAGGAACCTGCAAAGGAGGAGGAGGCTGGTGTGCATAAAAATGATTAGGATGATGCGGTTTCAAATCTGAATATATGCTGCAATCGTCCTAGCGGGATCAGAAGCATCTGCCTTACTGGGTAGAATGCCTTCTGCTGTAATCTTAACCTGAATATGCTGCAATATTACTTGACACTTGTCAGACCTCTGTTTAGCAAGAGTGTAATCTTAGACTTCTCATCTAGTTACATGTTCATTGTTGACAAAGTAGAAGAATCCTTACCCACAATTTTGCTATGAATTGTTAATAAAGTAGAAGAATCCCTAACCAAAAGTTTTGTCATTCAGTCTTTGAATACATTCCACTCTAGGGCGTACATTATTTTCGTCAATCCCATATTTGATCCGTGTCTTTGACTCGGTCCACTTTTGGTATGTGATTATATTGTTTTTGCTCATTAGTGGTTCTTCCGGCCAAATTTTTTGGCAACATGAGGGACTTTACCCGTTTGGACAGGTGGGCAAGAATCGATAGTCAAGTACTAAAAATGGGCGATTCCAAAGACGTGGATCAACTTTGAGATTGATATAATACTGTAGGACCAAAAGTGAAATTATTACGTAGTATGTCTTTGAAGCTTCTTAGAAAAACAATTTGCATTGGAACACAAAAGATCAAACCCTTATATAAGCAATACGAAACTCTTTCTTTCCCAACCAATTTGTAATAATTTGAGTTGAGGACATGAGGGTACACTTACATGACCCATGTAGCCTGGTCGGAATGTAGATATAAATAGAGATGATGAGATGGGAGCCTTTTGGATGCTTCTGAGACTGGTATTATGCTCTACTGCAGCAGAGCAAATGCAGGCACACATGAAGGAGAGATTTTGTTGGTTAAAAAAACTATTCCCTCACGAGTGAATTTGTTACGTAAGAAGGCTGTTAATGTATATTGTTTGTATGTAGCTGTATGGGCTGGCCCAATGCCCTCTAGGATTTGTAGATACGTCTCGTGTAAGATATATCAATACTCCTTTGTAACCTTATTGTTACTGAAATATACTGTCATTGTTGTTGCCCGAAGGCCCCGAATAACTTCATTTGTTATCAGACGCAAGTGGTACTCAACTATTCATGATACACTGCAAATTATTTTTTCTTGAAAAAATGACCATCACTACTACTATTCTCAACTACACAGTCTCCGATAATGAAGAAACCTCCGACAACTATGGCCAAGGGTCCACCCAGTGGTAGTTGGGATTGAGGTCCCTCTCCCTCTACAAGGATGGGCCGAATGGCAATAACCGATGGTCCACTCTCCCCCCCCCCCCCCCATGCACGGCTGCAACTCAGTCTTTCATGTACTACCGACGACCTCGACCATCTACCCGCGGACTTGTCCAAATGCCCCACCACAGCAATGCAACAATGAAGGATCCTCACCCGCCCGCCTCGGCGAAAGTGAACACCCTCATCACCCCTAGTACGTAGTTGTGGCTGACAAGTACAACACCCCCTCTCCTCTCTTCCCCGTGATAAAAGCGGCGGTGGTGACCCATCGACGTTTTAGTTTTAGAAGACCATAAGGTTGGGTCAAATTATCAAGTTGGGCCAATGGTATATATATGATCCAGAATTGCCATTTGGCTGGCCACAATTCTTACAACATGCAGCTTCAACTCAAATAGGAACTAAGTACTAAAACTATAGACTTCAGACAAAAAAAACTATAGACTTATAGATTACACTGTCAAATGATGATACTACTATTTTTATAATCACCATTATTAACTAACAGGTTAAAATACCCCAAAGTAAATTATGTGTGCCAAACTCCGATGATATAATCATCTTTAGCAGCAGCATCTTTATCTGATGACCTAGCCTCTTTATCACAACTAATTAAGTCACCTTATCTCCAAATCATCTTTATTTGATGACTAAAACACCTCCAAAAGCCGTATCCTTGAAAACACAACCATCACTTCCAAGGAGGATGAGACCAACACACAAGATATATGCTCCCAAAAAGTCATTGCCAAGACAACACAACCATCACGTCCATAGAGGAGATATATATATATGATGTATAAATCTCAAAAGGCATTACCACAGTAATGCACAACATACTAGAGGGTAACCCTCAGTCGCACATGGTACAAGATAGGAAAGCGGTCGACGGTACACATCAATAATCGATACTCTTACCGCTTTGCCCCTCAGGGAGATGGTTGAGGTTTTAATCTAAATGGTACTGTCACAACGGCAAAAATGGAGCCAAGGATGGCTAGGTGCCTGGGCCGAGGGGCATGGAGACCTCACGTCCCAAAACTTCACCACCAAGCTACTAGCAAAGGTCAAAATTGAACTTTAGCCGCTCGCGACCAAAAGCATACACTACCTTCCAAGGGCACACAAATTGACCAATGCCAACACAGAAAAAAATAATAAAAAATAGAGGGGAGACGGGGACATGACTCATCGTTGTCTTCATCCAAAGGTTTATAAGTTTCTTGCACTTGGATATGAGCCCTCTCCTAGCACAGATTCTTGTGCTAAAAAGGTTTATTTTAACTACTTTTCATATAATTCTTTCTTCGATTTATTCATAGCATTTGTTTTAAATATAACCTTTTATAATTAATTGAATTCAGTCGCCTCATCCATAATTAACTTCACCAATTTTAGAAGATTTTATCAATTTTGTCAGTTTCAATATTACCAAATAAGTTCTTATCAGAGAAAGAGAGAGGGACAACATATGATCAAGTCTTCACATCTACGCTCTCTCTTTACCTTGTCATCTAATCTAACTCAAGAAGAATCATATAATTGTTGACCACTTTAATCCTCCCCTGTCTAGATCGTCCTCTCCCCCCAACATCTCTCCTCTCCCCACCTCTTAAAGTTGATCACGTAGATAACTAAAATAGATCACACAGACAACTATTTTTTGTGAGCAACACAACCCTTTTGTGTGATAAAAATTAAAAACTATATGAACACAAACAACTAAACATGAGCACACAAACACTTATTGTTTTTTAATAACACAAATATTGTATGTGTGGTAAATTTTATCTGAAAAAATCCATATTTTGATAGCATAAGACTATTATATACACACATTCAATTATTATTTGTGCATACAGCACTGCGCAAAGACTGGTTAATTTGCACGTTCACATTGGTTTGTGCGCCTGTCAGACGACTGTCAATGTACTTTTGGCGCACAAGTTAATGCCCATAGACATAAACACGAGTTGTTTGTGCACAAACGACTCTTACTGGTGCCTACATGTAGGTCCTTAATTATTCACAACAATTGTTTGTAATTGACAAATGTGTACAGAAGGTGTAACTCCATGTGTACATCAAACATTATACGGAGTATTATACATCAAACATTATACTCCCTCCGTATTTTAGTGTTCCTTACGTTAGTTTTGTGCACGAGAATTAAGGGGGAATAGTAGGAGTAATGAATAATATAGAAAAAGTAGGAGAGAAGCGGAAAAGTAGAAAAGAGAGGATAAAAAGTAGAAAAAGTAAGGGTAATTGAGTATTTTTAAAGGAAAAACTTACTAAAAAGGAAAAGTGTATGAAACTTTTAAATTCATCCCAAAATGGAAAGTGTATGAAACTTTAGAATACAGAGAGAGTATTATACATCTTCAATAGTGCTACTTTCATTGTACTTTTTGTTTCATTGTCTCACTTCTGAAATCGGCTTTCCTAATATGCCAACACTTATCTGGCCAGCTGTACTATTTGCAATTACATACTCTCATCTTTTAAACGTGAGTGTTTCATTATCAACTCTATTACATTATAGTATAGTAATTCCTTAATTTGGTTAAAACAGTTTTTCGTTAAAAACGATTAGGAAATGTTTAAAAAAAAATAGCATGGCCCATTAATCCCTTCATAAACGGTTCAGAAAATATATAAATGCCTCCTTAGCTTCTGCATGTCCCATGTCCAAGTATCCAGCTTGTATAGTTCTAATTTAATTCAATTAACTACTAAAAATCATCACAATTACTTGTTAATAGTTAATACTACGTACAACCCATGTTTTTTATTATCAAAACATGTCTCTATTCATATCAAAAGATTCAGTATCATTACATCAAGCAAAGAGAAAATAAAACTGACACCAACTAAAACTCCAACAACTACGACTGTAACCCTATGGTGAGGCTTTGAAACGGTCACCCCTGAGAGAGCAACACGAATCGCTAACCATGTAGTGGGCTTGACACAGCCAAACCTGTTCCCATAGATCCAACCATACCCAATGACATAAAGAGATACTACAAACTCAAACAAATTGTCAAAACCAACAACAAAGATGAACACAAGAAAACAAATGACAAACAAATAAAAATTACTAGGAAAACTTTCACAGACTCTAGCATCTCGTACAACCCATGGTGATGGTTCAGGCGGAGGTCGGACCGTCGCTCGATTGATAACCTCTTTCAGTGGTGTACCCGCCGTACGACCCAAATCCAAGCCATCGAATGGAGCGTTCAGCCTCTCCACACTAATCATGTCCCGATCATCCCTACGTGTCTCTCGCTTCTTCCACCATCTTCTCGCTGCCACGATCATCCATCCCGAGCTACGTCCAAACCACGGCAATCCGGCACAGTGTTGCGTCGATTGAAAGAAAACGCCGCACCAGGGCGGCGAAGTAAAAACCCTACGCGAGAGATCTAGCTAGGGAAACACTGACCAAACTTCGATCAAGAAAGATCGAAATCGGAAATTACCTAGCGGCGGCTCTGCCCTAGGAGCTCTCTACGGCAAACCCTCGTTCCTTATCACTTCGTATATGGAAATCCTAAAGAACAATTCAAAAAGTACAAACATCTTATTCAGAACTTCGGAACATCGGAATTGTACGTACAACCCATGTTTTAAAAATTCTTGTTATAGGATCCGCACTAGAAAAATTATAAACCAAGTTTAGATAATTAACCTTGAATGTATTTAGAAATAATGGCATGAATATTACAACTAGAATTATTAAAGACAAGAATATAATTGGAATCCGGATTGGACAAAAATCTTAGTGAAAATGTGTGGACTGACTTTAATACCCTGGGCCCTAATCCCATTCCGTCGTTTTCTTTCTCGCCCGCTGCCATCATCACAGCATCGCTTCTTCTTCCTTCATCTGCATCCATCATCCCAACATCACTTCTTCTTCGTTAATCCGCAGCCATCAGCACACCATCACCTCCTCCACGCCGCCTCCATCTTCATGCCATCGTCTCCACGTCGTATGGACATCGCAAATATGTCTATGGTTTAATTTCTTCTCTCTTCTTCGGCGAATCATCTCAAAACTTGCGAATCTGCGATGGCGGCGAAGCGATTGTGGAGATCTGAAGATGGCAAGCAAGGATTACATTATCTATTACGAAGGCAAATGATGAGGGCGATTACAAATTGGGCTAGGGTTCACATCTGCCGCTGCCGTTGTAGGGCTAGCGTAGTAGTGTGTGAAGGCTGCGACGGGGTGTGGGGGTGGATCTGCGGTGGTTCAGGGACCGGTTCTACTCTGAACAGGTGGGAATCTGGGGAGGGATGCGGTGAGGGGGTGGGTAAGCGATGGGGCTGGGAATTGGGAGAGAGGGTTTAGGAGGGGTGGAGGAGCACGACAGCGGTGGGTGGGGGTAGACAGGGGCAAGCGTTGGAAGTGGGAGAGGGGTTGGGTCCGGTGTTGGAGAGGGGCTGGCCGATGTGGACGGTCGTGGTTTCCTATGGTCACTGTCTAATTGGGTAAATGTGGCAGAAGTATCTTTGTCCGGTGTCCAGCTAGCGGCGGTGGCGACCACTGGCAGACGGCGGTGGACGGAGGTAGCAGGGGCCAACACTAGAAGTGGGGCTGAGGGATGGGGACTGGGGTAGCTAGGTGGTGGTCGGGTTCGCGGTTATTGTTGAAAAGGAACTGGCGGTGGTGCCTAGCGGTTTTGGCCGGTGGTGGTTTCCAGTGGTAAAACTGGTTGGAAAAATATGGTAGAAGTAACTGTATCAGAGTTACTACGAAAGTGTCGTTATAGAGGTGTCACTGCGGACATGTCACTGTCACCGGTGAACGTTACCGGCTGGTGGCGACAGCGGTGGTCAATGGCCGGTGGCGACGGCGGTGGTCAATGGCCGGTGGCGACGGCGGTGGTCAATGGCCGGTGGCGACGGCAGTGGTCAATGGCCGGTGACGACGGCGGTGGTCAATGACCGGCAGCGGAGGCTGTGGTCACTGTGGCGGTTGTCACTATAACGGGTGTCACTATGGCTAGTTTGTAACTATACGGGTAAATTAGTAAGCTTAAGCCTTATTGGTCACTATGGCGGTGGTCATTAGACGGTGGTCACCGAGCGTTGGTAACTATGCCATTGGTCACTACTTGACAGAGTCACTGTGATAATTGTCACTTTGGTCACTGTAAATATTGGTCACTTTGGTCACTGAGCACTTTTGGTCACTTTGGTCACTGTAGCAAGCTAGGTGGTCCTGGGTTCATTAAGAGTGTAATGGTCCTATTAGTAAATTTTAGTCTCTTTTTTTAAAATTAAAACATAAGTACTCATTTTAGTCCACCGATAGTTTTTACGTAATATTGTAGTCTTAACCCCATGTATTTATAGTGTCTTAAATAATGCCTTGCTTGTTGTGTTTTAATGAGGATTTAAACGTAGGTACATAAATTTTCACTTTAATTTTCTATCGCAAGATGAACTGATATACCCACATTGACATGGAGTATAACACAAATAAAGTGCACATGGAAATTGGACTATTATATGTCATTCTAAAAAATATGAGTTATTTGATTATATTAAGCATATCAATTTTTCCCATTTGAAAGTGTGAATAAGTCATATTTTAGAATAAAGCAATGATGATCTTAGGATGTTTTTACTTGCATTGTTTTCACTCACAGATCAAGCAAGACCAAACTAGATTTGCATAGTTATAAAATACACAGAGACCAGACATTTATCATACCATATTAGACCAGTTCAGACCAAACCAGATCAGACCGGAAAATTTCAGTCCAAGTAAAAACATCCTTATTTTTACACTTTATCTATATTTTATTCCTTCATTATGAATTTTCTATCTACGGTAATACCCTATTATTTTGGGTCCATTTATAAACTGTTTTTCATCCTTAGCTTATAGCTTTATGATGTAGTCTTTTTATTAATTCTTCTTTAATAAGCTTAGTTAAAAAAAATTAGAAGTTTTTTACAAGAATATTACTAAAATAAAATGTATTTACATAAATATGACTATTCATTACAACAATGTAGTATTGTGGTAACTTAAGTTCAAAACTTGAACATGAATTACCAGGGGCGTAGACAGGGGGTGGCCATCCCTGGCCATGGCCCAGCCCAAATTTTAAAAATGTCTAAATTTTTAGGGTAAAAAATTCCGAGTAATTTTTTTTTCAAAAATATTCTTTGTACCGGCCCAGTCCGGCCCAGTGTCCTGGCTCCGCCCCTGTGAATTACTATGATTTCATTACTATTCTAGTAATTAGTCATGTTTTTAATTTGTAAATCATCTTTATTTTGATCGTATTTATGTAATTATTTCAAAAATTATTTGGCATATAGATCTCTCCACGATGGGCTATCCACATCATTTTTTTAAATAAAAAAAAAATTCAAAAAACATCAACTAAACGCTATATATATGTATGTAATTTTCTCCTTTAAAAAATATACGGAGTAGTATGATTAGTATCTTCAATTTTTTATCTCTGTTTTTTATATCAACTTAATATTAAATTTAACTATTGAAATGTGCCATCAATTTATTAATTAAACATCAAAATGTTTTACTGTAATCACCAAATTCATTGTCACATACTCAATTTCCAATTTCCAAATCGGGAGCTACAAGCTATGTGGATGCATGAATTATTCGATCAAATAACTTCATTTATTGGAACAACGCAAGCTTATCCACAATGGATTATGGTATTTGATTATATTGATTTTTTTATTCATATGTATCATTAGAATACAAAATTGTACTGTTCAAAATTTTCAGTCGGCTCTCCATTGAAGACAAAATATAGTACTCGTGTTGCTAAATTTGGTCCAATTTGATTGCTGATATACTAATGATGGTCTAATGATTTGTTTACGGCATCCCACACATGCTGGTCTACTATTGACTAGTCATGTCCACGCTGGCACGCTGTTCTACTGGCCACGTTACACACCTGCCCCGGCTGCCCGGTTGTTTACGCCTTCACGCCCTCTCTCCAACCATTCTCCGACTCCGATTTAGGTGAGAAAGAAGAAAAAGTAACATCGCATCCTATGATTGAGGCTTCTGCACAAGAGTGAGAATGAACAGAAGTTGCACAACCACAAATAAATTATTTTATGGGAAAGTGACAACATCTTTTAGACAACAAAATACAAAAAATAAGGACAAAATCTAATAGGACCAACAGAGTATGTAGTATTAGATGGACATTTTTTTGTCCTTTTTCTATGAAAATAGATTAATAGAATGACTAAATATGGAGAATTTCAAAGACGAATATCAAAAGTGAATCTCACACAATAGTGAAATAGTTAAATACTACCTCCGTTCCTTTAAGTTTGGGACAAAGGGGTGTGGTGTGTTTTTTTAAGAAAAGTAGAATTGTGTGGTTCATATTGAATTGATAAATTGTGAATAAAGTAAGAATGAATTCTAACCACTCAAATGTTACCAAATATGGTACGAGACAAACTTAATGGGACGGACGAAAAAAGTAAAACGGGACAAAGTTAGGGGAACGGAGGGAGTATATTTTTAATTAGAATGCTTTCGATCACATATCGGGCCAAACCTGATCAAATTAGACTTCGACAATTGTAAATATATACTCCAGTTCAAATCATACCCGATTAGACATTCAATTCTCTTCAAATCATACTGAATTGAATAAATCGGATCAGACTTGATTAGACATTCTATTCAAATCAGATCGAAAATCTTACATTTTCAATTAAAAACATTCTAAAAGTACAGTGAAGAAGCTCAGAACCGAGTACTAAACGCATCACTTATATACTACGTATAGTCAAATGACATAAAGTGTCAAAAACGTTTTGATAAAGTATATGAACGGAGGTGGAGTTATGGGAAAGGGGGGGTAGGTTTCCCGCTTTCGGAACTTCATTATGATTCATTATGAGCTTTAATAGAAAAGATCAACTATCACGTCATGAGAAGATATAAATTTTCTACGGAGTATAACATTTTTATGCACTTTTAGCAATTTATTTGGTACATTACCGCGATAGCAAAATCTTCATTTATAATACCAAGCCGGTCCAGGCACATAGGTGATAGAACTATCGTTGATAAACCTTTAATCACATATAGACATTCATAATTCACATGGGATAGGTTTGGTACAAGTAGATGAAACAATATTTTTATGAACTTGTTAGTTAGTGACTGAAAAGCTCTTAAAAGAAAAAAGGTATTAGTTTTTGATAAAAACTTGACTATTTGATTAGTTATGTTTGATATACAAAATGTTATGACTAATTATTGTTAAAAGTATTCAGATTTTTTTTAAATGTTACTCACTGCAGCATCTCAAAAAAAGATCTTTTATTTTTAAAAAGCTCTTAAAAATTGACATGCCGAATATACAATTAGAAGCTTGTAAAGACTTTTTGAATAATACAAAAGCCATAAGGTAGGGACTTATATTTGTTAAGCATGCACATAGTTAATAATTAAATAAACAAAATTCTCTAAATAGAAGTGACATTAAAAATGGACTCATACATTCATATTTTGGTAATTAAAGTTTTTAATGCTTGGCTTTCTTAGGATGTTTTCTTTTGGACTGTTTTCAGTCCCAGACCAGACCAGACCAGACCAGACTTAAACAGACCAGACCAGACCAGACTTCCGTAGTTATAAAATACACAGAGACCAGACGTTTACCAGAGCAGACCAGTTCAGACCAGACCAGACTTAAACAGACCAGACCAGATCAGACTAGCAAATTTCAGTCCAAAAGAAAACATCCTTAATCTTAGTCTGAAACATAAGAAAATAATAAACCCGTTGAATATATCTTGAGAGAGAAAAAGTGGATGTGTCCCTATTTTTGGGTTTTCTTCCACCATTCTTGTGAGGTTTTCTTTTTTGGCAGCCCCACAGACCCTATATTGAGGAGATCGCGAACAAGGTCAGGGTAGGTGGGTCACGGCTGGGTGGGGATGGGGTAGACTCGACGAAAGATAGTTTGGAAAAGCTGACCAGACATTGCGATGGTTGGGAGAACAAAACTAAGGATGATGAAATGGTGTTTGATGAGGAGGATGCTGAGGACCGCATGGAGCAGTCGTTTTCGGGGCTCATCCCCCTCTCAAAACGCCATCATGAAATACAAGAGTCTAGGTTTTGGAAGAAGATTAATGAACTCTGTTTTAATTCTATTTTATTTTGGTTGTGTTTTTCTTTCGAATTGCATGTTGTATTAGGGGTGTTCTTATTTCCTATAAGTAAGATTCTAGAATTTAAGTCAGGTGATGAGAAGTCTGATTTGCTTGTCATTGGCTCAGTTAAGCCCATTACAGGATCAACGATTCTTGTTGCTTCTACGAATGTGATAGATTCTAAGTCTGATTTAAAGGCGGACAACATGCAGAAGGTTTTTTGTCGTTCTGTTTCCTATTTTATACCGAGTGTAGGTATAGTCAGCCAAGTGACGAACTTTTTGTTGATTTATTATAATTGTTGGTTTTACCATAAAAAATGCTTTACTTTAATTTCTTAGGACTAAATACATCTTTAAAACAAGGGCTTAAGAGCATCTCCAATGATATAATGTGCACGGTACACACGTGGCATTAGAGATAGCCACATAAATATTAGTAAATAAATTCTTTCTCTCCTTATTTTAATGATTTTACACAGATTTAGTAAGTTTTTCTCCACAATGTCTAGGAGACCGTCTAAATGTTGACATTGCAGTTGACATTGCAGGGAAAAACTTACCAAAATTGTATAAAATCATTCAAATAAGGAGAGAGATAATTTATTTGCTAATATTTATGTGGCTATCACTCATGCCACATGTGCACCGTGCACATTTTAGCATTGAAGATGCTCTAATGATGGAAGTAAGGAAACAGTAACGGAATGGTGTGAAAATACATTAATTGTTTCATACTAACATTCTTTAGTTTTCTAGCCTTGCCCTCACATATGGGATTACGATACGAGCAAAGAAAGACATGTTTAGGAAAATATTTTAGGCCTTTTCCGACGAATATTCTTAAATTAAATTCAAAAAAGTAATATACTCTGAAATACACTATAAAATTCTCTAGCCTTGCTCTCATTACTTCTTTGTGACTTATCATCTATCAATGACTTGTCATTCTGAAATACACTATAATGACTCTTGTTCAGTTACTCATACACAGTGACTAGTCATATTTTTGTTCAAAAGACATAACTAATCGTTTTTTTGCCTCGGGAAACTCTATTGGTAATATAACATCATTTTCAATATTTTATTTTACACCTTCCTTTGATTAATGTCACGTTTTAATTAAAAAGGACAATGGTGTAATTCGACATTCTTTTTCTTAACTTGACCCTCCTTACATTTGCCCTGACCCTTTACATCATGGACTGATGGAATTGAAGTGCTCGTGTGGTCCACCCGGACCACCCTATAACCTATTAATAAGCAAATTAAATATGCCAATTGGCAATTCAAATTCAAAATATACAAGGATGACGACGGTATTAATAGTCAATCTAGGTTATACGATAGTATATACGAGTATAACATTTTTTCTTTATCATTAATTGACCATCAATCTAGGAAGTGTGTCTTGTCCGCCTACTCCTAAACTACCATCAGGGTTAAATGAGGTGGTAGAGTTCAATAGATTTATTTTGCTTTGTTAGTTTTCTTCATGTTTCGTTTTTATCTGGATCTGTACTCTGTTTTGGTTGTGCTGTGTTTTTACAGCAAAAAAAAACTCTTGAACTTAGGACATATGATGAGAAGTCTGGTTTGCAATAAGTCATTGGCTCAGTTAAGTCCAAAGCGGGATCAGCAAATTCTATTGCTTCTACGAAGGTGATTAATTCTAAGTTTGGTTTAAGTTTAGGGCGGAGGACAAATAGAAGACTTTTTGTCATTTTATAACCTGCTTATGTTCTGCTGTGATAATTTAAGCCAGTTTCGTTTAAAAAAACTTTTAAAAATTGGCAGACCAAACATACAACTAAAAGTTTTTAAAGACTTTTTGAATAGTACAAAAACTAAAAGGTATGGTCTTATTTCTGCTAAGCATGCACATAGTTAATAATTAAACAAACAAAATTCTCTAAATAGAAATGACATTAAAAAATGGACTCATACTATTTCCTCCGATCCTATACTATTTCCTCCTCCGTAGTAAGGAAACAGTGACTGAATGGTGTGAAAATACATTATTTCCTTTATAATTTTTTTTTACTTTTTTCTTTTTTTAGTACTCGAGGAGGTCTGGGGGAGGGGGGCTGGGGTCTGGAGTAATCTGGACTGAAACTCCATTTAGTTTCGAACACTTATGTGTCTAGCGGGTTTCGAACTCGAAACTTCCCACTAGACACAGTAACCTCACAATCAGTTAGGTTGGAATGTTTGATTATTTCCTTCTTAAGTATTGCCATGTTTCAACTTTCAAGTAAAAAAATAAAGATGTACTTTAACATTCATCAATTAATTCTCTAGCCTTGCCCTCACATATGGGATTACGATATGAGCAGAGAAAGACATGTTTAGGATTTTCGAAAAATATTCTTAAAATGGATTGAAAAGATAAAAATGTGACTTATTTTAAAAAATTCAATAAAGTAACATAAACAGTGATTAGTTTCTTATGACTCATCATTTACCAATGACTTATTAGATTGAGGGGGTGTTTGGCAAATGGTTGTTGGCCGATAGCTGATTATGTTGGCTGATTGATAACAACAGATTCTGTTGGCTGTTTTGATCAGCCGATAGTATTAGCATTTTTAAAATGATGTTTGGTTAAATGGCTGTTTACAATTAGCTGATAACTTCTTAAATGACTTTTAAGGACATCATTTAATTTTTTATTTACTACGTACTTTTACATACGTATTATAAATTTTGTTAGTTATTTGCATTTTAAAAATATCATAATTTTCTTTCTTTTCAAAAGGAAAATTATTGACATGACTAGCCCCATAGCCGTATTTATAATTTACAAAAAGAAATTGTCAAAGCAACTATTCTTTTACGCATTATTTTTAATGTATTAGGGCAACCCAATAACAGGAGCCGCTGGTATAAATAGGAGCAAAGCAATTGAAAAAAAAAAAAGAAAAAAAAAAAGAAACAAATGTAGCAGCCATGATGAATTGACGTAGAAGGTAGGGGTAGATTAGGAAAATTGGGCAAAAAAGTGAATCGGCCAATCCTAAAAGCTAAGTTTTGTAGCTTTTTAAATTTTGGCTATTTAGACAAAAAGCCAAATAAAAAAGCCATGTAACCAAACACTCATATTAGCTGATTCATCTGGTCAAAAGGCTAAATGTTGTTCAAAACAATCAAAAAATGGCTGATAGGCCATTAACCAAACACCCCCTGAAATATATTATAGTGACTCTTATTGAGTTACTCGTACACAGTGACTAATCATATTTGTCTAAAAAATACAACTGATCATATTTTTGTCTGAAGACACTCTATTAGTAGTAATATAACGTCACTTTTTCAATATTTTACTTCACACCGTACCTTCCTTTGATTAATGTCACCTTTTAAATAAAAAAGATAATGGTGTAATTTGACAATCCTTTTCTTAACTTGACCCTCCCCACCAGGGCCAGCCTTGACATATAAAAGACCTAATGCAAAATTGAATATGAGGTCCTGAACAGCTTGAAGTATAAAACACTCTATTAATACTTCCAACATTTTTTAAATAATAGGCTCCTTAGTTTGTTTGTGGGTTTTAAGAAGAGACTAGTAGGTGTAGTATAGAGATGTAAGATAAATGAAAAAGTAGAAACGAGAATATATTAAAAAAGTAAAGTAATAACAAAGTATGACAAAGAGAATACGTAGTATATTACAAGTTCATTCCAAACTGTACGAGAACTTTGTGCTAATTACTGTAACTAGGCCTTGTGAAATAAAGAAATTACACAATTGTATTAACAATTGCATTTTAATTACGTATAAATATTGCAATTTAATGTTTGTATTTAAAAAAGTACTAAGATAGGAACTTTTAATCAAATAAATAAAGAAGTATTATATTACTAGTATATAGACTATATTTAAAATTTTGGGCCTTCTCAAATCGAGTGGGAAGTAGCACTTCCTGCTCCCCACATTTGCATGCCCTAACCCTATATATCATTGTCGTCTCTTGTATAGGGATGGAATTGAAGTGCTCGTGTGGTCCACCCTCTAACCTATTAATAAAGAAATTAAATGTGCCAATTGGCAATTCAAATTCAATATATACAAGGATCGGACGACAACGGTATTAATAGTCAATCTAGGTTATATATAACCAATGAGCATAATTACAAGTTAATTGTTTTAATTGAAAGTAACAAAACTTTTGAGATAATAAAAAATGAAAAAGTTAGCAAAATCTAATAGGACAGAGGAAGCAGTGATATTACACTTCCTCGCATACACATTTTCCATATTTGATGTTTTTAATCCTTCTACTATGCAAATGGAATGACTAAATATGGAGAATTTCAAAAACGAATGCAAAAAATGTCTCTCAAACAATAGTGAAAGAATTAAAAAATAATTTTAAATGGATTGGTTTTGATCCTAGACTAGGCAAGACCAAAACAAACAAGATCAAACCAGACTTTGACAATCGTAAAATATATATATATATATATATATATATATATATATATATATATATATATATATATATAGCACAAACATCTACCAAACATGATCACACCCGTTCACATATCATACCAAACACGAATTAACATAGACCAAATCAAACTAGACCAAAAAATTACATTTTAATTAAAAACATTGTTATAAAAGTGAAAATATTAAAACGTGAATACCAAATGCGTCACTAAATCACTTATATATAGTTAAAAGACAGAAAGTGACAAAAACCCTTTATTAACTATAAACAAACTCATCCAAAAAAAAACTATAAACAAACTTACTCTAATAAAAAACTATAAACAAACTTATAAGCCACAAAAAGATAGACACTTCATCCTATATGATTCATCACACACATTATGTGCTTTTTTAAAAGGTAACTTATGATCACTTCATTAAAAGATAACAATTTTTCTACGGAGTGCGGAGCATAATAACATTTTTTATGTACCTGATTTTCCACGGAGTATAACATTTTTTATGTAATTTTAACAATTTATTTGGTACATTGCCACGAAAGCAAAATCTTCATTTATAATACCACTTGCCGGTCCAGGCACATACGAATTTAATTTGTTGAAAAACGTTTAATCCCAGTATAGACATTCATAATTCACATAATTAATGCTTTGTTTTCATGACTAAGGATGTTTTCTTTTGGGCTGAAATGTGTTGGTTTGGTCTGTTCTAGTCTGAGCTGGTTTGATATGGCCTGAACGGGTCTGGTCTGATCTGGTAAATGTCTGATCTATGTGTATTTTATAACTATGAAAGTATGATATAGTCTGATCTGATCCGATCTTTTCTCATACTTAAAACAGTCCAAAAGAAAATACCATAAATACGTCGTCTTATAAGTTATAACTCCTCTAATCAAACAGTGCTTAATGATAGAAGTAGGGAAAAAGTAACGGGAATGGCGTGAAAATACATTATTTTCTTCATAATTATATAATTGCCACGTTTCGATTTAAAAAAAGATGTACTTTAACATTATTCTTTAATTCTCTAACCTTGCCCTAACATAAGGGATTATGATAAGAGCAGAGAAAGACATGCATGTTGAGGGTGTGAAAATATTTTAGCTTTAGGCCTTTTTCAATGATCGAGTATTACTACATTAAATTAAAAGATAAAAGTATAACCTATTTAAAAAAATCCAGAAATTGACATATACTCACTAATCAGTTCTCTGTGACTCATCATCTATCAGTGACAAGTCATTTTGAAATACACTATAATGACTCTTATTCAACAACTAATACACGGTGACCAATTATATTTTGTCCAAAAAACATAAACATATAGTCATATTTTGATCAAGCAAAATAATATTAGTAATATATATATATATATATATACATGTCATTTTTTCAATATTTTATTTTATTTCTTCCTTTGATCAATGTCATGTTTTAATTAATTAAAAAGGAGAATGGTGTAATATGACATTCTTTTTCGTAACTTTACCCTCCTCACATTTGCCCTAACAATATACGGAGTAAATCATTGTCCATATTGTAAAGGGATGGAATTGAAGTGCTCGTGTGGTCCATCCTATAACCTATTATTAAATGTGCCAATTGGCAATTTAAATTCAATATAATATACAAGGATCGGAAGACGACGCACGGTATTAATAGTCAATCTAGGTTATATATATGTATAACCATTTTTCTTTATCGTTAATTGACCATCAACTTATAGATAACGATAACGCTGTCATGACTTGCATGGAAATTGCCAACTTCATGCCTATATAAAGGGGCTAAGATAGGGGAACTTATATAGAACCAAAAACGAATTGAAAAGCCGCAAATTCCATAAAAGAACACAACTAACCTAAACAAAAATCATACGAGATCGAAATGGCAATAATCAGAGCATTTCTAGTCCTTTTGACTTTGGCGGAGGTCACCCTAGCCTTACGCCCTGTCCCAACCCAAAATATTTCTTCTCCATTAACCCGCAAAAGCTTCCCTCCCGGTTTCCTATTTGGAGCTAGTGGATCTGCTTATCAGGTTCGAAATTTTCACTTTTATAATTTAAAATGTCCCAGCTAATTAATTGTATGTTGCCTTTAATATAAATCATAAAAGATCAGAATATACTTATATTATTTCACGGTTTTATAATTCATTTAACTGAATGTCCCTAGCCTTAGCTTACGCCGGCTAACAAGAATTCACCTATCATAAGGTGAATATCTTAAACTACAAGCTAATAAGTAGTATTCTATCAACATTAATTAATACTTACTCATAATGACGTAATCGAATAGTTACTGTTGCCAATTTCTTCACTTTAGAGATGTACCCTGTCGGTTAAAAAAACATGTTTATATATAGTACGTACTAGTTTTAGAATATATGGAGCAATTATAATTAAAACATGGGAAAGTTCCCGAAATAGGACTAAAAGAGTTTGAAAATTCCAAAATAGGACTGACATGTTTTTATTCTCAAAATAGGAGTAATTACTGTCAAGTTTCGAAAATACTGCCATGTTTGAAGTCTGGTACTGCCAAAACATGTCAGTAATTAGTCCTATTTTGGGAATAAAAACATGGTAGTCCTATTTTGGAATTTTCTAACTCTTTTAGTCCTATTTTGGGTAATATCTCTTAAAACATAATCATGAAAATAATTAAAACATAATCATGAAAAGCTTTTAGTGGCAAGGACTCAAGGTTTTATATTAAACTTCAGAAAACCTATTTTTGGTTTACCTTCAAAAAGTGTAGTGACATTTATAGATAATTATATTATTAATGACGTTTTTATAAGAGATGCACTTACACGACGCGACAAAGTTTTGCATGCATGCATGATGCATCATGCATATGTATAGATTGCTAAGTGATACACTGATACATAATGCATCAATGTATTATGTATGTAGGTGTATACTTCTAAACAAATTGTTTCAAATAGGACTTTAAAACATAGACAAATTAAATTGCTTCAAATAAGTACGAAGTACAATTTTAAAAATATAACATAATCACTCATATATATCGGTACACTTTGTTTTAGTCATATTTAAAGAATTTTCTTTAACAGAAAAAGTACATCATGTATGTATTTGTTTGTCAAAATAATGAAATATGCCTTACATCTATTTTTCTCTTAATATGATGGCATATGGAGTATGTATTTTAGAAATTGTCATGAGTTTTAGTTCTAGACATATATATTTTCTTCCGTTTTTAGAATGTATATGTGTTGGAACAATAATTAGGAAGGCCAGAGAATGAAAGATCAAACGAACGGTTAAATTTCTTTACAATTGATACGAATATACTATACGTAGTATATGAACTACTTTGTGATCCAAAATTTTAACTCACCTCTCATCTCATAAATTCAACACATAGAATTGAAGCTTAATTAATTTGCTGCAAATTGTCAAAATATAAAATTTATAATAAATTTATTACTTGATAGATTCATAAATATTTAGTTATTATTTGTTTGATTATTGGCATCATTTTCTTATATAGTTCGAAGGGGCAGCAAGCGAAGATGGCAGGCGGCCGAGTATGTGGGACACATACTCTAAAGACCATCCTGGTTAGCTTACGAATTTATCATTTCTGCAAATTCATTGAAACTTTTTTACCAAGAGTTAAAAACTAAAGTAATGCTTGAAGTAGAGAAATGCTATTTCCACCAATCTCTCGTAGTTATCACTACCATTGTGTCCCCGCTAGCTCTTTTTATTGAATTCGAATAACGTGCTTTTTCATCACTATATATGGTACCTTTTTATGTTAGCTGCATGCTAGTATGCTATTCTACCTCATAAAAAAGTGAGGGTGTCGTACCCATAATAGATACTTCCTTCATATCGTATTAGTTGCAATATTGAAATTTATACACTATTTATATACTTTACTTTAGCTATATTTTATTTATTAATGTATGTGAATTATATTTTTTGAAAAATATTGTTTTGATTTCATCTCTATACAAAGTTCCATAACCTAACATTCATTTTTTTTACTAATAGAGAATTAAAAAGAACAAAAGAAGTATGATTGGTCCACATCATCATTTCATTATTTATTGCAGAGTATATTTTAATTATTTAATTGCAATAAGGGAAAAATCGCATATATGGTCCCTCAGTTATCCACGAATTTAAAATCTCAAACCTGTATTTTTGAGATTGTGAATGTCACCTCCTTTTGAGGAGTGAAATATGCAATGTGGACGAGGGTACATTTCACTACTTAAAGGACCACATTTACACCAATTTGGACAATTGAGGGGTGACATTTACAATATCAGAAATGCAGGTCTGAGATTTTGATTTCGTGGATAACTGAGGGACCATATATGCGATTTTCCCTTGCAATAATTTGATTGGTCCATCTAGGAAAGATACAACACCTTAAAAGGGTGCAAGGGTGCTAGCTGCAGAATATAATGTGTCTTTATTATTAACTTGTTCTAAGCCTATGGCATGTCACTACGTGATTCAATGCTATAGTGGACCAAGCTATGAAGCTATCTCTAGCGCACTAACACATTTATGACAAAAAACTAATTAACTTAAAATGAAAACTTTAATTTGATGAAATCATTTAAGAATAAAGATATAGAAGAAGAATTGGAAGTAAGGGCGATATCATTCAATACTTAAACGCTGAAGTATATATGAAAGTTTTCCTTTATTACTTGATTTTTTATTTTATTTCTAACCGTTGGAAGTGTTATGCTACATACATCTGCTTATAGAGAGAATTCTGGATCATACAACTGGTGACGTTGCAATAGACTTTTATCATCGATACAAGGTATCATCGACATTTTCGAACTCATTCCAATTCTTTGAATTAATTAAGCATCTTTTCCTACGGAGTATTATTTATTCTTTTCAGTACTAATCGAAAAGTTTAAAGAGTCCTGAATGTAAAATCATTATCCTACCAAATAAATCAACTAACATATAAGTTCATGTACTACTCTCTTATTAATTAACTTTGAAGGTAAAAGCCAAAGTTTAAAATGGTAGAATAGTATTATCCGATTGTGATTTTTCTTATTTGACACACACATATATTTCATTGATAATATATTGAACTTGTATTGTAATTACCCAATGATATAGACTTCGTAATTCAAATCCCGTTACATATACATACCTTATCGATCACGTCTTAGCAGGGACGGATCCAGGATTCTGAGTCAAGGGGGGCGAAAATTTTCGCTAGTGTAGGGGGTGAATTTTTTTTGTTAGTGTAGCGGGGGTGAAAATTTTCCCCTAGTGTAGCGGGGCGAAATTTTTTCGTTGCTGTAAAGCTATGCGTCTATTTTTATTCAAAAAATTACATTAATACATGCACATCTCGAGCGGCATTTAAATCTATTACATTCTAAATTTAGACGATGACAAAAACATCAACCAATACATTTTTAATAACTTCTACATTGTTTAACCTCATGAATCGGTTATTGAATTGTAATTTTTGTCCACCAATGGGGGTGTTCGTGAGTCATGACTCATGAGAAGTTTTCTTAATATTACAATAGTAGTATACTAGTATGTATGAGATTGTTATTTTTAGAATAATATGCACCACACACACACACACATATGGTGCATATTATATTTTAATATTTTTATTAATTCTATAATAATTTAAAGTTTATTATCCATGCAATAAATTATTTTTAGAAAGCAAAAAGTAAATGAATTATGTAATCTAATGTCTATAAATATTTATATTTTGGATTCATTTCACGTGATCTAAAAGTTGTGTAATTAGTGTGTCTGGTATTTAATATTGTTTAATATATGTTTTACAAAATCTAGTACTTGTTATCTAATAAAGATAATTAAACATTACAAAACTATGAATTCTTATATAATAAGTATCCTAAATCTTAAATAACGAGTTACTCTATTGTTTATTTGTTTAAGTTATGTAAATTATTTTAGATGTTTCTTCTTTTAAATCTCCAATTAAGTATTACATTATGTAAGACTATATACTAATTTTGAAAATTAAAAAAGTTAAGGGGGGCGAATCTAATTAAATTATGAAAGTTTTATGAAAATATTACATATATGGTAAAAAAAATTGAATGTCCAAGGGGGGCGGTCGCCCCCCGCGCCCCCCCCTAAATCCATCCCTGCGTCTTAGCACAATGGAAATATTTTATTTTACTCCTTATACATAAAATCATTAGTAATCTCATTCGAGAATTACATGGAACCATTGCAGGAAGATATAGAATTGATGAAATATGAAGGAATGGATGCTTTCAGATTTTCGATCTCTTGGTCTCGAGTTTTACCATGTAAGAAGCTCTACCCTTGATTTAATTTTTATACGTAGTAGTTAACTGTCTACTTTGATGTACCGATCTTGTTATTATATTTCGGACGAGATCTTAAAGAAATTACTCCAAATAGGACTAAAACGTAAACATAGTGCATAAATAGAAGTATTTATGTTTTATATTTAAAATAAGACTTATTTGATCCTAGTAAAAGTATACGTGCAGCCCCTCCAAATAAGATTAAATGAGTCTTATTTTATGAAGAAAATAAATGTTATCTTATCAATTTGATTTGTTTTAGTCCAAGTTTTTCATCTTCTTAATTCGTATAATGAATTGAATCTTCCACAAAAATAAATGGTTAAGCTGACAATTAATAGTGTATTATAAGGACTTATGTGTAGATACTCTTAATATTTATTATTATAAATATGATGTTAGGGATCCCTGGTGGGTAAGTCATTCTTTACTCTCAATTACTCTCAATTATTTCTAAATCTTGAAATGAAATTATAAATTCATAAAATGATTTGAATTTTTCAGTCACTAAATATTACATGTGTTCTATCGTTAAATAATATCATCATATAGTGTGAGAGCCTCAAATCACCATACTTAAATTTGTGAGTTCACAGATGGAAAACTGAGTAAGGGAATCAATCAGCATGGTATTACTTTCTACAAGAATCTCATTGATGAAATCATTGCAAAAGGTAAGCTCTCTCTCAATTAAAGTCTCAACGCCTCCGAAAGTAAAATATAATCCATATCTTCTATCAGTCAAGATTTTGAATGTGTAGGTTACATTTCTATGTTCATGCAGAAGCCATATGTGAAATCCTCCATTCCATTTGAGGCAATAGTGTTTTCTTTCACGCATTCTAACCACAACTATGTATAACCAACTATAATAAATGGATAAAATTTCTTAAAAATCATGAGTAATTTAATCTCCCATATTTGAAGAATTGTACAAATAAAGGAAAAATTATAATGCTACATAATAATCAATTTCGTGATGCTCCAA